TAAAAGTGTTGTTGTTGTTCTACTGGGAGCTAGGAGGGTGGAGTCCTCTTACTGAGGCTTTTCCTCCTCCCCTCCCTCTAGCCCTCAGACTGGGCTCCACCCTGGTAGTTTGTCAGTTGGCTTTCAGGAGGAGGAGGAGAAGCAGCAGGATGAAGAAGGGGGAAAGAGAACAGCATCTTGTGAGCCCTGACACGTGGTGTGTCTACATACTTCTCAGCTATCTTTCACTAAGTTAAACATTTAATTTAACTCTTATCTTCCTCATCTGATTCTTTGGGTACATAAAGGAAAGTGCGGGCTGCTTCCTCAAGCAGTGGATTTCCCTCGGGCTCTGGGTGGAATGGACAGAGTTGAAGACATTTCAGGTTACTATTTGGTATATTTCTTAAATCTGCTAAAGAAAGGAGAACCTGTGGTGCTTCCTAGAAGGAAAGGGAAAGTGATCACAACTTTTACTTCTTCATACCTGCTCTCAAAACCTTTCTTCAGACATAGGCATCAGTCACATGCTTATTATTAGTATCAAGAAGTAAAGAATATAAAGAAAAAGCCCTGCCTTTCCCACCAAATGTGGTTATGGGGTACAAAGTTCTCTGTGTGTCACTTTTGACTCCTAATTTAAGTGAGACAGAGGCCATACCTAAAATATTCAAAAGGAAAATGTGGACTAATAGACTGAGTATGATAAAACCAAGGGCTCCTTACTGGAGCCCCTTGGATAAAATGAATGCTCTCATTTCTCCCCTTAGCACCTAGCATTGTTCTTGATACAACCCAGATGCTTAATTTACTTTTATTTACTAAACAGATAGAAGAATGGATGGGAAAGAATCTAGAGTTTGTTTATAAAAGGTTCAAGAATTTACTTCATGTTTTTCAAAAGCTGAATTTGTTATATGAGGTCAAGTTTTCTACCCAAGTAAAATTGAGACATAAAAACAATAACCCAGGGTTGGGCTGGGGTTGTAGGTGAGTGATTGAGCACTTGCCTCACATGCGTGAGGCAGTGGGTTTGATTCTCAGTGCTACATAAAATATAAATAAAACAAAGATATCGTGTCTATCTACAACTAAAAAATGTTAAAAAAACAATAAATCAGGGTTAAGATAATTACTTAATCAGAAAAAAGTTTAATAAGAATATAGAATGTTTGGCTATCTGCAAGATAGCTTTTATTTTTTAAACCAGGGACTGAATCCAGGCATGATTAACCACTGAACAACATCCCCAGATCCCCAGACATTTTTATTTTGAGATATGTGTCTCACTAAGTTGCTAAAGCTAACTTTGAACTTGCAATCTTCCTACCTCAGCCTCCCGAGTCACTGGGATTACAGGTGTGCACTACCATGCCTGGCTGGATAGGTCTTCAGCCTTTCCATATTGAATAAGGAACTCATGGTGACCTTAAGGCACAGCCAACCTAGACCAGGAATTCTAGTGGCTACTCTCTTCAAATTTTTACTATAGTTATCTACTCATCTTCATCTTTACAACATAAAAATGCATTCATGATATAAACAACCTAATACATTTGAATCTGAAACTCTTTCCAGTGTTGCTTAAAATTGCCTTGGTTGGAATAGTGAAAATCTTGAGTAGTACTTCCTAAATTTCATATATTAAGAAACTAAGGCTCCAAATGATAAAGTGATTCTTTTTAAAAAAAATATTTTAGTTGTCAATGGACCTTTATTTTATTTATATGTGGTGCTGAGAATCAAACCCAGTGCCTAACACATGTTAGGCAAGTGTTCTACCACTGAGCTACAACCCCAGCCTGAAGTGATTCTTTTTAAAGAGAATTGTACTCATGTCTATTATGATTCCCTGTCATTTACCTTGTAAGCAGGGAAGGGGTACAGGGAGTGGTGGAGAGATATGGTATAGTAAGATAAGGAGTTATTTATAAATCCATACTACAGGAACATTCATGCAGCAAATATGTATATATGTTCTCTAATCTCTGTCCCTCGGTTTTCTCTTTTATAAACTGGTGATAGTAGTTTTAAGGTCCTTGCTTAGCATCTGGATGGCCATCTTAAGTGACAGCCATTTTAAGGGAAAAATTTTTGCTTTCCCGCCCAAGGGCCCCAAAGGTATTTCTGAGAAAGGCTTACCACTCCCTCATACCAACCCAACCCTTAACTGCTGCATTAGGACCCACCCACTGTGATTCCTGAGCCTCCCCCATAAAAGTCCTAGAACTCAAGCCTATTTTGCCTCTCTCTTCTATAGAGAGATGGCTTTTATTTGTCAGCTCTGACAAACTCTCATGTGTTTTTCTGCCTGGTCTCCCTTTTTCATTTATCACTTACCTGGCTCTCGTTTCTCACTTTCCCTTGAGTAATCCCTACTCACAGGATTGTCAGAAGAATTTTTAATGATTTAATAGACATAAAGAGCTCTACAACAGAGTTTGTCACATAGTTAGTGCTCAATAACTATTATAATTGTTAAACATAATAATGCCTGTCATCCAAGTTACAGATATTATAGTATCTGGTATCTAACCTCAGAGACTTTATTAAGGGAAGAAATCATATAAACAAATATGTGTTTGGAGTGAAGAAGGCAAAGAGGAAGAAGTTTTGCCTGAAGGAAATAAATAAGAAGGAAAGCTACCTTGAGTTAGTCCTTTTAAGAAGGTAGACAGAGAGTTTAGGCTATTTCAGATACAGAAAGTAAAGTGACTCCAATAGCCAAGCTATGGAACCAACCTAGATGTCCATCAAGAGACGAATGGATAAAGAAAATGTGGTGTATGTATACACAATAGAGTATTATCAGCCATAAAGAAGAATGAAATTATGATATTTGCCAGTAAGTAAATGGGTGGAACTGGAGACCATCATGCTATGTAAAATAATGCAGACCCAGAAAGTAAAAAGTCAAATGTCTTCTCTGATATGTGGAAGCTAGTCCAAAATAAGGGGAAAAGAAAAAAAAACTGAGGAAGGGGGATTCCATCAAAATAGAAGAAAGATCAGTGGAATAGAGGAAAAGGATTGAAGGAAAGGAGAAGGGATAAGTACAGTCAAATGAAATTAACCAAACTTTCCTATGTACATATATGAGTATACCACAGTGAATCTCACCATCATGTATGTCCATAAGGCAACAGTTTTCAAAAAGTAAAAAGTAAGGTTGGAAACAGCCAGGATTCTCAGGGATTTGCAATCCAGGGGAAGACCTAGGACAGCAGTAAAAGCTCTGGTGCTGGAAAGGTAGACAGGGGCCAGACCACAGCAAGTTAAAAGACCCCAGTCTTGATGTCATTTAGGTGGCTAAAATATGGGAGAAAGAAAAATATGTTTGGGGAGATGAGGATGAAAAATGAGATGCTTAGAAAGTATGCAGGCTGAAATAATAATTAAGTGGGCCTACCTGTTGTGAAGTACTGGGCTTTGACCCTGTTTCCTTAAATTAACAAAGGAGACATGGAGGGTACAATAGTACCTACTTTCCAGAGTTGTTACCAGGAGTAAATAGAGAAATGATGAATGTTAAAGCACCTAGTGCAGTGACTTGCCCATATTAAGTGCTGAACCCATAACAACTATTATTATTTCTCTTTCCTTGCTGCTCCCTCCCTTCCTCTGCTTTGTTTCTTGTCTCTCTTCTCTTTCCTCCTCTTTAGAAGAATTGTGGTAGGCAAGAGCTACTGAAAGGGGGCTGTGGTTGCTTGTTACTTCCTGACCTCCCATTAAAATTAACTAGAGAAGGACTTTCAGGCAAGGGCAAAGAAATCCTGGAAATGTGGCTCCTATCCTATGGATGCAGCTCTACGGGGATCTTCGCCAATGCCTAGCTGAGAGGCGGTCCCAGGGGGTTGAGAACACTATTCTTAGAGATCTGGTATCTGGGAGACTGAGAACGCCTTTCTTAAGTCTCCCAGCTGGGCCACACAGTATTTGCAATTCTTCTTACCCATCCTCTCCTTTACCTTCACCTCCTTCCCTCCTCTGTTAGTAGATAGGTATGCAACCAGTTCCAATCTCCTTTCCTCTTAGCATCCTCCCTGAGAAGGCACTGTGACCTCACTGTCCTTGCTGGTGTCACACGTTACCATGGAGAGCTAGGAGGGTAAATATCGCTTCCAGTTGCCAGTTTTCTTTTCTTTTCTTTAATGGAGAATATCATGCTAAGCGAAGTAAGCCAGCTTTCTTATTTCTCTCCTTTCCCTCTCCCTTTCTTCCTAGGCATCCCCAGCCCCAATCTCTACACCCCTCATCGTCCCCTGAGAGTTAGCAGAACACGAGTAGATAAATGACTGAATAGTGTGTTAACAAGCTTCTTTCTGGGACGGATAAGGAACTGAAATTGATTCGAGTTGTACCTGCTGCTGCTGGAGACACAGAGAGGCAGCCGCCAGGGGCGAGGCCAGTTCTCTCCGCCCAGGGCCCCGCCCCAACCCCTTCCTTCTCCCTCCGCCTTCTCAGCCCCACCCTTCTCCACCTCCTCCTACTTTGCTCTCTCCTCTAGCGGCCGCTTGTCCCTTTTAAGGAACTCCACCCTAGGTGGAGTCCTCACGATAGTCACACCTCTCTTCTGGGCCTAGCCGGGCGGAGAAAGACGGAATCACTCCACCCACTCAGGTTGCCCAGAGAGCACTTCAGGTTCTGACCCGTGTGGGGCTCGAGGTCCCCAGTGGTGCAGCTAGGTGCCTCCAAGAAACCCCGCCCCAGAAGACCCGCAAGAGTTGCTGCCGTTTTTTCGCTGAAGCCCCTTCCCTGGGCTGGTGTTCTATATGTTTCGACCAATCGTCGGCATTTTCTCCTCCCTTCTTTCTTTTTAGGAAGGCGCTGGGGTGTGCGGCGGCAACCGCGGTGGTGAAGGGATCCTCTCATGGTATCTCCTCGTGGGGAACGTTCCTGTCTTGAATGATTCCTTCTCCGCCTCAACTTTGTGTTCAAGTAGTGTTTTGAGGTTTAGGGTGGGTTTTTTTTTTTTTTTAGCCCCCACCCCCGGCCCTCTGCTTTTCAAGGGTGTGCGGAGTTCAGAGGATGGGTGGAGAGTGGGCTTGGCCGGAACTAAATTGGTGGAGGTAAAAGGGGAACGGAGGATCTTTAGCATTGGCCCCTTCGGCCCAGCAAACCCACTTTATTTTTAGCCGAGGAAAAGCTGCAGGGGGAGGATTCTTTTTAGAAAGTCTGCTCTGCCGGCCCTGATTTTTGGGTTGGATGCTTGAGAGCTTTGTTTCCCTTGTTCTAAGGGTGGCCCAGCTGGGGCTGAATCGACTCCCTCCCTTTTCGCCTTCCTCCCCATTTTCCAGCCAAGAGAAAAAGGGGAGGTGGGGGGCCGAGAAAGAGAAGGCAAGAGCTAGTCGCCTGGCGCGCTGTCAGACAGGGGCGGGTGTGAGGGGAGCAGCTGTCTTGCGATCAGCTCAGGGGTATGAACCTCCTGGAGGACGGCATGAGCTCCGGACACTTCAGGAGTCCTCAGCTAGAGACATGGGCGGTAAGTGACTCCGGGATTAGAACCCACCCACTCTCATCTCCTCCGTCTAGATTCTACCCCTCCCCCCTACACACACCCACTTCTCTTTGGGTTTTAGAAGTGGAGGGGGCGGGGGCGGGAAGCGGAAGGGTAAGAACACTGTGTGGAATCAAATGAAACTCAAGGGAAATGACTTTGCTAAAGCGTTGAGCAAAGAGGGGCTAAGAAGGGGAAGAGATACTTTTGGGGGGCTTCGTGAAAGTAGTGAAAGAGGACAAGAATGGATGGATTTGTCTAGTTTAGTCCACCCTGGCTCAATGCTCGCAAATCCCCCTTAAGCGGTAAAGGTTTGTCTTTGACTTAACCCCACATAGCCAAAGTCGCAGCCAGCAAGAACAGTATTCAGAAAGCCGAACCAGGTAACTCCCTCCACCCCCCGCCAAGCTCTAGCCTGTACCTAGAAATGCTTCTAAAAAGGAGGAGGAGGGGGCAGGGGGCTAAGGTGGGAACCTGGGCTATTAGGGACACGAATCGCGAGACCCTGGAAGGAGCCGCAGGGGAGGAGCTGCTTAGGGCGTGCCAGTTCTTTAAGGAGGGGCTGAGCTTGGTTGGAGGAGGAAGCCCAAGCCTAAGGCCCAGCCCGGGCCCTTTAAGACGTGGCCAAGGCGGTTGGTTCGTCTGTGTAGGTGGAAGATTGGGCCGAATTGCTGCGATTGCTTGAGCTAATGGACTTGCTCGGCCACTTGGTGGAGCTTTTTATGTGTGTAGGTTTTTGTTTTGTTTTGTTTTACCGTAAGAATTTTGGGGAAAATAAACACAAATAGGTAGCCAAGGAAACGATGTCATATTTCTTTAATATTGTCTTCATTGTGAAGAAAAACATATACTAAGCACCTATCTGTCAGCAAGAGTAATAATAGCTGGAAAAAGAGAATAATCTCCAAATCTGAATTTTAAACTAACAAGAACTGTGATGGTTTGACAGTAACAGAAATATCTGCTTTGAAACCCTACTACCACCCCTAACTAGTTGTGTGACCCTGGGCATTGCTTTTCTCTACAGAATGCAGATTAATAATTATATCTCAAAAGACATTCAGGTGAATTAAATACCATAGTGTATGTGACACAGACTGCTACTTGTTGTATCTTAATTTCACTTTTCTTACTCAGTTTGGTACTCTTTCTCTGAGCACTCATGATAGAATTGGTACTTTGCTGTCCTTAAAATACCACCTAGGTGAAGTGAAAGGAGGCCTAGGAAGACTGAATTAGCTTGCCCAAAGGCTGAGGCTAGAGCATAGGTTTTATTTGCTTCTGATTTAACATTGTTCCCACTGGACTTTATCAGCTCTAAGAGAAAAGGCCACTAAACTGCCTTTCCCCTCATTCTTTGGGTAACTTAACCAGGACAATATAGCCAATGGGACCTTTGGACAACAAAAACCAGTGACACATAAATGACCTCATCGTACTCTTTTAAAGTTTGGGGGAAACCCTTACTTTGGTAAAGGTTGGGGACAAAGAGAATACACTGGGAACAGTGTCTTCAGGTTAGCTTAGGGAACAGGCAGGCAGAAAACATAAAAAGGGCAGAAATATAACTTTAAAAGTAAAAGCAACAAATGCATTTATCTAGTCAATTCTCAAGATAGAACTCGTGTCTCTACTTTCATAGCACTAGGGAACTATAGGTCCCTTTTGCTTAGGCATTCAGGTTACAATAGAAAGAACATTAGGAGTAACAGAAACATTGGGGGAAAAACATCAACTAGGTCATCACCTTCACTCTCATTGTTCTAGTATATTCATTTTGATAGGGGAAATACTGGGGATTGAACCCAGGTGTTCTATTACTAAGCTATATTCCCAAACCTTTTTTATTTTTTATTTTGAGATGGGGTCTGGCTCAGTTGCTGAGGCTGGCCTTCAACTTGCAAACCTTCTACTTCAGTATGCACTACCATGCTGGGCTAGTATATGAATTTTAGAGATGGAGTTCTTAGTGGTTCAGATATCTGAATTCTAGTACCCAATATATCAAGCCCAGTCAAGTTGTTCATCCTTCCAGGTTGTCTTTGATGATGGGGAATATCAACCATTCATTCTTCCTCTTTCTGGCAGAGGCTCTATTATTATTTGATTCACTTATATGTTCACCTTTGCCCTGAGTCAGTTACACTGTATGACCTCATTTAATTGGTTAAATGAAGACAAGATTGCCTTTGGATACATAATTTATTTAGTAAATGTATATTGACATACTATGTGTTAGGCACTGAGAAATTTTTTTAAAAACTTAATTTCCTATTTCTTTTGTCTTGAATGTCTTCTTTATCCTCCCATCCAAACCTGAATCTTCCCTTAAATTCTACCTTTGCCCTGGCCTCCCACAGCATGTCTATTCTTTAGATGTCCTTTCTGTTCTGTTTCATTGATACCACAAATAAAATGCTTATAATGTACTTATTTTCATGATTTTTCCTGAACAGTATTTATAGTGTTCCTTCCATCATTAATCCCAACTTAAATGCCATTTCTATGATTCTTGCATCTAGAAATGCTCTTTTGAGGTTCCATATTACTTTTCCTGCATTTTCTGGAAACCGCATCACTCTTTGTCCTGCATTACATATCTAAGCTCTTACCCCTTTTTCCGACTGCCAAGGTACTCAGTGACGCGTAGTGTCATTTTATCTTTATAATACTTAGCTAATCACCTTTCCCTTGTAAATGCTTTGTACATATTTTGTAGATTATTGTCTGAGGTCTAGTTCTAAAATGCCATTATTTTTGTAAATGAAGGAAAACTTGATTGAGATGATTGACCAAAATGATCATCTAGTACACTTGCCATCTAATTGCTAAGTAGAGTGTATACACTAATGTTTTTGATTTAGGCATTATACCTACAATTCACATTTCCAATTTATTGATTATCCCCAACTTAGCTTCATTATCTAGTCTCTTATTATCATCTCTAACATTATATTATAATTTGTGATTATAAATAATGTAAGTAAAGCATTGGACTCAGTGCCTGACATGTAATACAAATTTCATAAGTGGAAGGTCTCATCATTTTTGTTTTGTTTTATTTAAATGTTTCTGTGTGTTTGTGGCAGAGGAATATAGATTGATGAGACAGGAAGTTGGATATAAATGTTTGGAACATAGCTGCTGTATGTAATATACTAAAAGATATTGTCTGTGTATTTAAATGAATTGGATATATATATATATATATATATATATGGACAAATCAAACTCTGGGATTTTTATTTTATTTATTCTATTTTGGTACTGGGGATTGAATTCAGGGACACTCAACCACTGAGCCACATTCCCAGCCCTATTTTGTATTTTATTTAGAGACAGGGTCTCACCGAGTTACTTAGCGCTTTGCTGTTGCTGAGGCTAGCTTTGAACTCACAATCCTCCTGTCTCCGCCTCCTGAGCTACTGGGATTACAGGTGTGTGCTACTATGCCCAGCTGCCCCAGACTCTTATCCATCCATCATTCAAGACTTCTCCTTTCCGCTTCCCTGGTTAAGAAAGTTACATTACATCATTATCATAATCTTGGGGAATTTAATTAAACTTTGTACTTGTTCTCATCTGTGTATTGAGAATAATAATAGAAACTAATTCATGGAGTGGCAGTGAGAAATAAATATGTTAATTTTGTTAAACAGAAGAATGCATGAAAACGTAGTAAGCAGTGAGAAAATGTAGTTGTTATGGTTCTTATAACTGATGCTCAAAATGCTGGCATCAGACTTTTCCTTCTTTCTCTGTTTCCTCATCTACCTAGGTGCCAAAGGCTTTTTTTTTTCTCTTTGTATCTGGCATTAGTACATACTTTCCTTTTTTCTTCTAACTGCCACCCCCTGAATTTAGGCAAGCAGTGCAAAAAAAAAAAAAAAAATTAGCCTATGGATCAAATACAGCTCACATGTATGTTTCCCCTAAAATTTGAAAACTCTCATTTATAAATATATTTTATCTGGGCTTGGTGATGCATGACTGTAATCCCAGCAACTCAGGAGGCTGAGGCAGAAGGATTGCAAGTTCAAAGCCTTCCTCGGCAATTTAGCAGGGCCCCAAGCAACATAGAAAGGCGCTGTTTCAAAATAAAAAGGGCTAGGGATGGGCCTGGGGTTGTGGCTCAGGGGAAGAGGGCTGGCCTAGCAAGCCTGATGCACTGGGTTCAATTTTCAGCACCACATAAAAATAAAATAAAAGGTATTATGTCCACCTACAACTAAAAAATAAGTGTTAAAAAAAAGGTCTGGGGATGTTGCTCAGTGGTTAAGCACCCTGGGTTCAATTCCCACTTCCAAAAAATAAAAAATGTATTCTAGGTGTGGTAATGCATTCCACAGAGCTTAAAATCCAACATACACAAAACTGTACAGTGGACTCTCTCCCCTATTCCTGTATTCTAGCCACCCATTTTTGTCTCACTAGAGTTAACTACAGTTACAAATTCATGGGCTGGGGATGTGGCCCAAGCGGTAGCGCGCTCGCCTGGCATGCGTGCAGCCCGGGTTCTATCCTCAGCACCACATACAAACAAAGATGTTGTGTCCGCCGAAAACTAAAAAATAAATATTAAAAAACAAATTCATAAGGAGTATTTTCAGGGATATTTAACGTAGGTCAGATAATAAATATGTATACTCCCACTTCCCTTTTATACACAAATGGTAACACATTCTACACATTGTTCCACAACTTGTTTTGTCTACTTAAAAATATACTTGAGATCTTTCCATATAATACATAGAATATGTCTCATTCTTTTGTGTGTCTGCATAGTTTTTCACTATATGGATGAACCATGATTTATTTAAACAGTTTTCTATGGATTGACAGGCTCTTTCCAAACTTTTGCAATGTTGTAATAGCAATAACAACTTTGTAAGTTCTATATGAGAGGAATAGGGCTGTCATAACAAGATATCACTGACTGAGTCTGCTAAACAGAAATTTAATTTTTTGACATTCTGGAATCTAGA